TAGATTGATTTTTGTCCGTTTTTGAACTTGATTTAAAAAATGGAAACAGAAAGTATGTATTCATTTTTCCATTAGATTCTTCTGCAAAACTTTAAGATTCTAAGAGGAAGCTATATTGTTGCAAGTAGCAGCTTGTTCATTTTTGTTTCTATACAGTATCCCATAGTATAAACAGAACACAGTTTACTTCTCCATCCTACTCTTGATGGACATTGAGAAGTGTCCTTTTGACACTTGCCAAAAAAATCTGGAATTTGTTTTGTATAGCGTTATGCAGGGGTCAAGTTTAATATTTACCCTTAAAGATATCCAACTATCCATAAATGCATGAGTCTGTTCCTGGACTTCATACAAATTTATTGTTCTATTTGTCTATCCTTTTACCAATTTCACACTGCCTCTTTATAATCAGTCTTGGTATTTAGTAGAATGAATTCTCCCACTTTGTTCATTTTAAGATTGTCTTAGTCTTAATCCTTGGCATGTTTGTGTAAGTTTACACTCACACCCACACACCATGTGTGGGTTTGTTTTTTTTTTTTGCATTTACATTTGCAATCACAGTTTTATTTCTTCCTTTTGAGCCTTGCAATTTTATTTACTCATTAAATATTATATTGGCTGGGATAAAAAGTACAATGTTGAATAGATTCAGGATGATGGGTGTCCTTGAAGATAATGAACATCTCTGTTCTGGTGATAATCCCAGGGGGTAAATCTTTCATTATTTCACCATTATAGCATTTTAAAGTGCTGGCATTGCACATTTTGAAGATGCTATTAATCAGATAAAAGAAATTCCTTCTTTCTTTACTGTGAGGTTTTTTTTTTAAATAAATGGATGTTGAATTTTATCTAAGGCTTTTGAAGATATGACTTTTTGCTTTCTTTTAAAATGATGAATACTAGTGATTTTCAAATAGTAAACCAACCACAGATTCCTGAAATAAACCCAACTTGTTTGTCATGCACTATCGTTCTCCGCATTGCTGAATTCAATTTGCTTTTATTTAGAAACTTTGCACCTGTGTTCATAAGTGACGCAGGCCTGTAGTTTTTGGGGTTTTCCTCCTAGTGCTCTTGATAGATTTTAGTATCAGGATTATGCCGGCCTTGTCAAACAAGCGTGGAAGTGTTCCTTTTGTCTCTGGAAAAGTCTCTGCAATACTCGTGTTACTTCTTCCGTAAATATTGGAAGAACTCACTGGATAAGCCA